ATGGAAAGCAAATAGAGGAATTTTGCTAAAACAACTAGCTTTCTTTAGATAAAATCTCTTTCTACCGACATGTAGGGGCACATATTTTGAAGGAGAACAAGAATATTTTGCTGAGATCAGAACAGTAGTCTTCTGGTAAGTTAACTCTCCTGTGGAGAAAGGAGCAAAGCATGCCTCCTTGACAGGCTGTGACTTAGTGTGAAAGGTAGGAACAGGCGCCAGCTGTAAAAATGGGCTTCTCTCAACTGTTGTCACCACTCCCTCCTCGCCTCTGCAGCAAAGCTGACAAGACAAAGAAAGAGACATAGAAAAGGGGCTTTTGATTCCATCACACAGTGCGCACTTATATTAAGTATAATCCTTCTCACAAATGTAAATGAAAATAGCCAATAAGCTAGATTTTACCCTAAACACCTTCTCACAAAGGGGGCCCTACATATGCATATCTCTCTCTTGCCATGGGAAAGACAGGTTGGGGAGTCAGCATCTGCCGTGTCAGCTTTCCCCTACATCCCTCAAATCCCACACAAGACCATCCATTAGAGCTGGGGAGAAAACATTTTTCCTGTCCCACAAGTATTTTCAAGAGTTGAAAAATGTTTCCTGTCTTGAATCAGGACAAAAAGGTAAAAATCTCAAAAATATTAGTGACCTGAGAAAACAATTTGTTTTGTCTTGTTTCAGGTCAATTGAAACCTTTCCTTTCCATAATTTCAAAACGTTTAGTTCCCAATTCATTTCAACCTTTCTGTTTCAGTCTTCTTAGCTTAAATTTCTAAACAAAACTGGAATTTTTCATTCTAAAAATGCTGAAATGAGCCATTTTGACCATTTCAAAACCTTGACCTCAACATTTTTTGAGTCAAGAAATTTGTCCAACCCAACACTTTTGGTTTACACGAACACTTTCGGTTTTGACAAATCACCATTTTTAATGAATAAAATTATTAGACTGCTTTACTGTCCATGAGTTCAGGGATCTGCAAATTAGTTAGGGGCAAAAGGATGCAGTGGGTGTGATCCTGCTGAGACAAACACAGTCACTGCAGGAAGAACGTTAACAGCCAAAGACAGTATTAGCTTTATCTTTCCTGAGAAGCCCTTATCTGCACGGGTGAACCAGGGGGAGGTTGGACTGGGTCATAGAGGAAGCTATGGGTTGGGAAATCCCTTTTAAATTGCAGTCATGACAGCATGACTCCAATGAAACTCTGTTTGCAGGGTGCTAGGGCAGAGAAGCAGGGGGTTGAATACCAATGTGGAGGTGCAGAGACTTTGGGAGGATGGCACTATGGCCCTGGAGGATACCCAGGAGCTATGCAGATATAGATTCCTGGTTTCTTCAATGGGATGAGGTGGTGGAGCCAAACCCTTCTTCTAATGGGAGAATGCAGAAAAAAAGCCCACCAGGAAGCAGACCTACAGAGTTGTTTGCACATAGGGGTACAATGTGGCCCAGTAATATTAAGCAGAATCTTATAAAGCAGAATGTATTAGATTAAGGGTTAGGAGAAAAATCTGTACAGCCTTTACACTAAGGTGTCATCTACACTGGGGGGGGAGGGGGGGGAGATCGATCTAAGTTACGCAACTTCAGGTACGAGAATAGCGTAGCTGAAGTTGACATATCTTAGATCGACTTAGAATCACTTACTTGGCATCCTCGCGGCGCGGGATGGACGGCCGCCACTCCCCCATCAACTCCGCTTCCACCTCTCACCGTGGTGGAATTCCGGAGTCGACAGCAGGATGATCGGGGATCGATTTATCGCGTCTACACTAGACATGATAAATCTATCCCCAATAGATTGATCACTACCTGCCGATCCTGCAGGTAGTGTAGATGTGGCTTAACACTCATCACTGAAAGATTTTGATGTAAAGCAAGAAAGCCTACACAAAACCCCACCCCCACAGACATTATGTGAATTTATACCTTCCTGCCTTTAAAATTAAATGGGAGGAAGGATGCTGATGTGAGTAAGGCTTAGAACCACAAGTCAGAAGGTCAGGAGACTGTCTTTGCTTCTTGTCCCAGACTCCCTGTGTGATCCTGGGCAAGTCACTTCATCTTTGTCTGTGCCTTGACTTCCTTATCTGTAAAACGGACTATGTTAGAATAAAGTACTGCTCACCATGAGCAAGCATGGCAGAATCTAGCCATTAATGGTTTGTCTGTCTGGCCATGTAGCACTTTTCTTCATCACTCCTTCCACTACCAGATAACAAAATACAGAATTAACAAATACCATAATATTGCCCATCATTTTTCCTCAATCTGTTTAGTTTATCTAAGAGAAGTTTCAGACGTGACTTGATCATGGTCTTCTCAGTATCTGCACAGGAAGAACATTTCTGATTGTATTCTTTATTCTAGCAGACAAGGCCATAACAAGGCGTAACAAGATCCAATGGAAGCTGAAGTTAGACAAATTTGGGCTAGAAATAAGGCACAAATTATTTCCAGAGAGGGTAATAAACCACTGGAACAACTTACCTAGGGATGTGGCAGATTTATCACCTGAAATCTTTAAATCAAGACTGGATGTCTTTCTAAAAGATACACTGTAGCTCAACCAGAAGTTATGGGCTTGGTGCAGAAATTTCTTGATGAAATGCTATAGCCTTTGTTATGCAGGAGGTTAGACTAGGTCATAACAGTCCCTTCTGTCTTAAAATCTGTTAATCAAATAGGCTTTCCCCCTAGATACAAATTGACTTTGACAGAACTACTCATGTGCTTAAGTTAAGCATCTGGTTTAGTGCTTTACTGGGTCAGAGCCTTAATGAATATCAAACAAAATAATGAGGGCACAAGATGTATAATTTTTGCTCTAGACTCCATTTGACCAAGTGGTGCCCTTTGTTCCATTGTGTCCAACTTTAAAGTCTTAGGGCTTGTCTATACTTACGGCTAAATCAACCCTGCTGTGATCGATGCAGCAGGGTTGATTTAGCGGGTCTGGTGAAGACCCACTAAGTCGATGGCAGAGCACTCTCCCATCGACATCTGTACTCCAGCTACCCAAGAAGTGTAAGGTAAGTCGGCGGGAGAGACAGTGAAGTAGCATAACTTAGGTCAACTTGCATCTTTAGTGTAGATCAGCCCTTAATGAGTAACTTGGCCAGGACCTCCAAGAGCTGGAGAAAAGCAGAGCTGGTAGGCTGAACTTTCTAACATTATTAATAGCATTGAAATGATACTAAATAAAATTGAACTATTAAAAATTAAATCTGAGCAATGTTAGAATCCTTGGTCTCCCAAATGGTGGAAGAGACAACCTAGTGACTTTTCTAGAAGAATGAAACTTGCTCCACTCAAGTGGTGCAAAGCTGAAGCTTCCAGGTGTTTTTCAAGGGTAGCCCAAAGTCAGGCACACGGCAGTAATACAGCCTTAAGAACATAAGAAAGGCCATAGTGGGTGAAGACCATGATCCCTGTAAACTGTCTCTGGTTTCCTGTATCCTATCCAATATCCTGTTTCCAGGAGTGGTGCATACCAGAACTTCCAGGGGAGTGTACAGCACAGGGCAATTATGAAATAATCAATCCCATCTTCCACTCCCAGCTTCTGGTAGTTAGAGGTTACAAAGGTGTGGAATACTGTGGCAAGGTCTGCATGATAAAAGACGAGGCAAAAACCCCTGGGCCAGACATAAATGAAAAAAAAATTACTCAATGCCATGACTGTCACCTGGACATGCAAGAGCAGCAATGACTCCCAGACAGTATACCTTCACCACTGCAGCCATCTTATATGGACTGAGCCTAAAACAAGTAGCTACTAGTTACATTTGTACTTCTGTTAGACATTGTGAAAACAAAGAGATTTCAGTATCTGGGTTCAGTGTAAAGCACATGAAGATCTGAGTGTCCTTCACATATTGCAATCCAGTATATGTGTAACCCATTGGTCACTATATGTTACGTGTCTCCCTCTGTTGCGGAGGATCAGAGTCTGGCCTCAGCTGAAAAACCTGGCTCTTTATCTCAAGCGGTAGAGACTCATGCTTTTAGCTCTGGAGGTCCCTTGTATCTGCAAAAATGGCAGCCATCACACAAAATGTTTCACTATTTTCCTGAGCAAATGGAAACTTGTATTTGAGGACCCTATGGGAAGACGACAGGTACTCATTACCATTATTTGGCACCTCCCAGAGAACAGTAAACACAGTAAAAGGGCTATTCAAGCCAGTCCAGTAAAGTCTCATAGGCGAGTCAATAAAACCTCATGGTCAATGGTATCGAAGGCTGCTGATAGTTATAACAAAATCAGCAAGGACCCCTTACCAATGGCTACCAATAGAAAGAGACCATTAACCATAGTTAACAAGATTCTTTCTATACCAAACTCACATGCAAATCATCAAACTGGAAGGGAACAAAGACATCTGGGAAATCAAGTTGCAACTGGAGCAGCTCCTATCCAACCTGTTCAATAAACTTGGCACTGTAAGATGTTAAAATAGACAAAAAATATAAACACGGGGCTTCACAAATATTCCCAACAACAAAAGGTACTGGGTAGCAATATGCAAGCCCACTTGATTACCCCCTGAAGATGCTGGAGGAGGCTAGATTGTTAGCTCTGTGGAGCAAGGACCACCTTTTCATTGCATGAGTGAAGAGTGCCGAATACAACAGGGCACAGATCCTGGCTGAGGCCTCTAGGCACTACTACTGCAATATAAGCAATACCAATTAACAATGAACCTATAAGGAGCAGTACAACATTAAGTGTAGTCTCAGGAGTTTATTGGGTAAAGGGATTTCTGGGGTGGAAAATCACTTGGAACTGGTCATGGCTGGTAAATCTAGAGAAACACCCACATTTTTGGATGCTTTTCTGAACCAAACCAGAACTATGATCCATTGGAAGTCATTCACCACTAATTTTCACTCTTATAAGCCTGACTGGTTATTTATAGACAGCACGCATGCAGAAATAGCACCACTTATTTTGTCTAATTAAATAATTCACCACATAATGCATTCCTACCTGGCATGTCCATATCGATGTGATGAGGAATCCATCATCTCTAAAGACATTGAAGATTGCAATGATCCCCCGGGAATAACCAAACACAGACACACTTGCGTCTGATACAGCCAGATTAAATGTAAGATAATCCGTGGGCTGCAGGACAGCTCTCTGCTTATAGAGTACAAAAATCACAATGCTGTTTCCAAACCAAGACATCCATCCTGAAAAATAAATGGAAAGTCAGATTAAAAACAAACAAACAACAAAAAATCAGGAAACAGTGTGGTATATAAATGCATGACGCCCATACATTGATGGACAGTACAATGGCAGGTTATTTCATTAAAAACAAACAAACCCGAACATTTTTACTCCACTGTGTTGTGTACTAGGCCTCCTTGAGTAACCAGGTACATTTCACTTTTTAATTTCCTTCTTCTGAATAACACTGGTAAGAGAAAAAAAAACCGAGGAGTCCTTGTGGCAAATTTATTAGTCTCTTATTAGAGGTGCCACAAGGACTCCTCATTTTTTTTGCTGATACAGACTAACAGGGCTGCCACTGAAACTGGTAATAAAACTGAATAGCAACAATGCACTTGTCCACTGAAGAACAACCATACACAGGTAAAGAAAAATTAAGTCTCTAAATAGATGGGATCCATAAAGCATTCCCAGTACAGAGACGAGAACAATTCTACCAAAAGCTACAGCTGTAGAGGCATGCCATATCCATCTGCCTGATAATGGCTAGTAAAAGTGTGTGCAGATGACCACATAGCAGCTTTTCCCAGTCAGTTCTAGAGAACCGCTGCCCTTTTCAGTTGGCAAGATGGAATTGCTTCTCATGGAACAGTCTGTGATCTCCTTGTGACAAAGAATACTGATTGGAATACTGTTCAGGAAGCCGCATTTTAATCCATTTGAAGATAATATTCTTAAGGCCTTGTGTCCTATCTTTCAACCTCAAATAAATGAACAAGCCCTCAGAAACTGGAAAGCCCTGTTTTCTGGTTAGATAGAATTGTGTGTCCCCTCTGATATTGAAGGTGTGGTGATGTCTAGCAGCCATCAGTCTTGTTGGAAGGGGAGAGCATAAGGTAGGAAGGGAATTATGAATCTGGTGAAAAAATCAGTCAGGCACTTGTGCACAGAGACCATGATTTTTAAAGGCATGTAGGCATTGCTCCTCTCAGTGTTGCAAGGCCTAAATCCCAGATTTTTAAAGGTACTTAGGTTTCTATCTCCTGTGAGTCAGGTGCCTAAATATTTTCCAAAATCTGGCCTAAGTGATTTGGATGGCTAAGACTCATTTTCACTTAGGAACACTTAGGAGCATATGTCCCATTGACTTAGGCTCCTAAATGCCAAGCCATTTTTGAAAATTTAAGGACTTGTCTACATGGGGACATGGAGAAAAGTTCATTCTAATTAATTAAAGGTGTGAATTTGAAGTATGTTGGTTAAACCACATTAAATCCTTGTGTGGCTGCTGTTAATCAGAATTAAATTTGTCTTAATTTGGTTTCGTTTAATTCACTTTGGAAGCAAATGAAACAAAACCAAATTAAGGCCACTTCAATTCTGTATGATGCTCTGGAGGTTTAGTGTGGTTTAAATTCACACCTTTAGTTAATTCAGATTAACTTTCCTGGATGTCCCCATGTATATAAGCCCTAAATCACTTAGGCCCAGCTCCTCAAATGTATTTAGGCACCTAGTTCTCATTGGAATCAATGGGAGCTAGCTGCCTAGATACCTCTGAGCATCTAGGCCTTAGACTTTGCAACAATGAACAGCGTAATGGTTTTAAGTTTGGGCCAAAGGGCCTGATCCAAAGCTTATAGGAACTCAGCAGGAGTCTTTCCATTGGTTTCAATAGGCTTGGGATCAGGTTCAAAGCACACAGGCACAAGTTGCATGGAATGTCATTGACCTTATGGAAAATTAAAAATAGGTTCTGTAAAGCAAGGGCTGCCATCTCAGAAACCTGGTTAGCACAGACAATTGCTATTTGAAACAGTTTTAAGGGTTAAAATGTTGAGAAACTGCCTACATAGGCTCCAAAAGAGGATTTATCAAACCCTGCAACATTAGATTCAGCCAGCAGATGGGACCCATCTGTGTATTAGGAGGCTTACTGCTAAATGGAGCTCTGAAGAAATTTTTGGGCAGAGGGGCTGTAGAATATCCCTGAATAGTCTCACTAATCACCCCCAAAGTGGGGAATCAATACATTAAGGACATGAGGGGACAGACTATCTTCCTAAAGGCTTGTAGAAAGCTGTCTAGCTCTGCAGTGTTAATTGTGAAATCTCACTAATGGCATGAACAATTTAAAGTCAGGACAAGTTAACTTGGAAGATACTCCTGAGGCAAAAAAGGATTTCCTATTACTTTGATCCAAAATGCTAACCAGCTTGGGCCATCAACCCATAAAGGGCAAAATTAACAAGTATCTTCTACAACAACACAGAATTCACCAGAGCACTGGGCAGCCGAAGACCAGAGTGAGTCAATGGAATTACTTTGGACTGACACAAATTCAATAAGAGTAGAATTTGGCCCTTGATTTGTAACTCATTACTTCCGTATACATACAAATTGATAGAGAATGTTTAAATGTTACAGAACAGAGGTTCCTGAACAGTGGTTCATAAAGTCATTATGCTAAAAGGCTGCCATAGCACTGGAGAGGATGGGTGGGTTTTCCTTAAAATCTATTAATATGTAAATTTCATTTGCACACACTGCATTTGCTGGGAATATACAGAACTACCTCTGTAGCACAGCGAATTAGGAGAATTTTCAGTTAAAAGAGAAGTTAAATGAGAGAGAGGAAGAGATCTGTTCCCATGAAGAAACACAGACCTTTCTCAGATTTGAAACTAGAGAGAAATCTGGAGCATGATAGTGTGAGAGAGCGTAATGGGGGTACTTTATAATAAATGCAGACACTTCTTGGTGAGTGAAATTACAGAGCAACCTTGTGCATGGCACAGCCACAGGTGGAGGGAGTTGATTTTACTAGAAGCAAGCAGACAAGCTTTCTCTGCTGCGTCGAACATTTGAGATGTGTGAAGTGGCTTGCAATTTGAATGTGTTAATGTACTGAGCAACAAACTGAAGGGAAGTTATTCTAATTACATCAAATTCTAAGGCAAGCAGTGACACCCTCATAAAAATACTCCAGAAACAAGCGCCATCTGGTGTTTTTGCATGTAACAGCAAAGAATTCCCGCTACCAAGGATCTGTTAAAATTGTATACATTACCAGACCATTGAGCATGCAACACTGAACCCTGTATCATCATTGATGTGCCTTTTTAAAGTCACAGACTTTAAACCAATACAAATAGTTTAGTTTACAAAACAATTTAGAAGAGGATCAATAAAGGACAAAATGCAATATAGTGAAAAAGAAAAGCAAGGGCTTCACCATCAGTGACATTGGGGGGAATTCCCCCCAATTGCTTTGCAGATGGCACATGTATCAGGATAGATCACATTTGAGGAAAGAGCCTGGAAAGAAACATCTGGTACATGAACAACTAAGAGGTACTTGTATTCCCGTGTGGTGAGTCAATAAAATAGTGGATAAAGGAGAACCAGTTGACATAATTTATTTCAACTTTCAAAAGGCCGTTCACAAATGCCCTCACAAGAGGCTACTTAAAAAAACAGAGGAGTCCTGGAGTGAGGGGCAAGCTCTGCAATAGATCAGAAACTGGCTAAGAGCGAGAAAATAAAGAGGAATTTGCTAGTGATCAATATAAATCAGAAGTTAGGAACTGTAGAAAATTGATAAAGGAAGCAAAGTGACATCAGGAGAAATCTATGGCCGGTCTCTCAGGAGGATGTCAAACAGAGCTACTAAAGTTACACATTTTTAAATCAGCAGGTTAAGATAATTTACATCCAAGAGTTTTAAAAGAGCTAGCTAAGGAGCTCATAATTTTCAAAAAGTTTTGGAGCACTGGAGAAGTTCCAGAAGACTGGAAGAAAGCTAATGTGTCAATTTTTTAGAAGGGTAAACACAATGACTCAGGAAATTATAGACCTGTTAGCCTGACATTGATTCCAGGGAAGATAATGGAGCAGCTGATATGGGACTTGATTAATAAAGAATTAAAGGAAGGTAAAATGTAATTAATGCAAATCAACATGAGTTTATGGAAATAGGTCCCGTCAAACTAACTTGACACCCTTTTTTGATGAGATTTCAAGTACAGTTGATGAAAGTAGTGTTGATGTAATATACTTAGACTTCTATAAAGAGTTTGATTTGGTACCATACAACATTTTGATTAAAAAACTAGAATGATATAAAATTAACAAGGCATACGTTAAATGGATTAAAAACTGGCTAACTGATAGAGCTCAACATGTAACTGTAAACAGAGAATCATCTTTGAACAGGTATATTTCCAGTGCGGTCGCATAGGGCTCAGTTCTTGGCTCTATGCTATTTAACATTTTTATCAATGATCTAGAAGAAAACATGAAATCATCACTGATAAAGTTTTTAGACGACAAAAAACTGGGGAACTGGTAAATAATTAAGAGGACAGATCACTGATTCAGAGCACTCAGATTTCCTGGAAAACTAGGCACAAGCAAACAATATGTATTTTAATATGGCTAAATATAAATGTAGGAACAAAAATTTAGGCTACACGTACAGGATAGGGGGATCTATCCTGGGAAGCAGTGACTCTGAAAAAGATTGTTTGCCAGAGGCTGAGAATGGGCGACAGGGGATGGATCACTTAACAATTACCGGTTCTGTTCATCCCCTTTGAAGCACCTGTCGGAAGACAGGATACTGGGCTAGATGGACCATTGATCTGACCCAGTATGGCCATTTTATGTTCTTATATGGGGGGCATGGTGGATAATCAGCAGACCATGAGGTCCCAGCGTGACACTGTGGCCAAAAGAGCTAATGCAATCAAAGGATGTATAAACAGGGGTCTCTCAAGTAGGAGTAGAGGTTATTTTACCTCTATATTTTGCACTGCTGCAACCACTGCTGGAATAAGATGTCCATTTCTGGTGCCCACAATTTAAGACGGATGTTGATAAATTGGAGAGAGTTCAGAGAAGAGCCAAGAGAATGATTAAAGAATTAGAAAACATGCCCTATAATGATAGATTCAAAGAGCTCAATCTGTTTGTCTTAAAGAGAAGGTTAAGGGGTGACTTGATTACAATCTATAAG